CTGGAAGTGTGGGTTATTTCAATATTTGACCTTGGAACTGATGTTGAAACACTTGAAATGACAACAAGACTTGAAAAGTTCCATTTCAAACCGGTTGAGAGGTTAGCATATGGAGAGACATAAAAATTGGATAACTCACTAAATGATAATACTTAATTTAGGTGGAGGAAATGGCTCTTCAAATGCGAGGGTGAGAACCAGAGCTACGATGTCTTGAAGGGCTTGCAAGGATGATTAGGCGTTAGGTGTTGGGGTGACATTGAGATGAACAATGTATCGAATCGCCTTGGAAGCTAGTATTACTCACGGTTACAAAGGTTAATGACAATAAGATCCATCAACAGAAACGGTTCTAATGGCACAACAACATATATCAAAGAAATATGGTGTAGAATTTTGCGAGAATCAAAGTCGATTCTCACAGGCGGCGCCACTATTCTGGTGTGGAATAGAAATTGAGTAGTAAATTGATAATGTCCAACATTGAAGGTCTCCAACACATAGCAGATGTCTTTGGTGGTCGGAATGAGTGTACTTGCAAAGTTATCACTCTAAGATCCAAGTCAGTAAAGTTAAAGATGAAGAACTTGTAAGTATGTTGTGAATACTACCTTGATTTGACGCAATGTGACACGTATATATGAACAACATTTAGAACTATCTCTGTTGAGCGACGTCTTATGCGAAGACCGTTGGATAGGTCCAAAAGTTGAGATGGACCAATGTTTTGTTTTAGTGTTGGATCCCAAATAAAATCACACTTGTTCTCCGTCTTGAGTAGGTGCGATATTGGATTGAGTCGATCTTATCGGGTCATTTAACCAGACAAAAAGAGATACCTTATCACCAAATCCTTAGTTAGGTCTTCCTTCCGGTTGCTTATTTCTAAGTTTGGTTTCATTGACTTAAATTTGTTACATGAAATAGTATCAAATAGGAATTTATATTAATATTGTATTGTTATTATCTTTCTTTCTTATATTTTAATAAAGTTGGTTACGGTGGATAAGACTCTTGTTGTATTTTTGTTTGAATATATTTTATCAAAAAAATATTTCTTCTATTAAAATTATAAATAAAAATAATTATTTTTAAATTAATTAAAAAAGTTAGTTAAGGATGATTAATTTTTTTTTGATTTCATACACAATCAAAGATATAATAGTAATATTTGCATTAGTTAGTTTAAAAATGAATAATTTTTGTTTATAATAGTTTGTTATAATAGTGAGCGGAGTCTTAAATCATATTATAAAATACTTTCAAAATTAACAAATACTCCCGAAGAATATTGAGTTCTATGTTTTCTTTACTTGTCTTATGTGCAAGTTAAGCATTAGGTATGAGGTGAATGAATGCTTGCTCAACGTAAACATGAGGTGAAAATGTGTTACCAAGAACTTTAGAATCAATACAACATAGAAAGGTAGGTACACCATTCCATTTCCCTTTTCGATTGACAACTCATTCCACTTCAACCTTTTCTATTCCTTTTGTTTTATTTCTTGTCTATCTATCACTACCAATATTCATCCCAATCATTTCAAACTCAACAACTCGACTCAACCCATTCATTCCTCGCATCATTTTGCCCATCCCATACATGTTTAATACTCATAATTATTTCACATTTGAAAAAAATATAGTGTGACTAAAGCTAACCAACTATTAAGTGATAAGGGAAATGAAACTCTTCACCATCTTAGAAATCTTGTTTCAATTTAAAATATTGGGGAACACCTAAGTACTCACTCTTGTTTACATAAGTAAAAATAACTACTTTTACAGAGATTTAAAAAAGGTAATTAAGCATGCTTTCATTAAACTCTTGTAAAATTTAATATCTTTAACCTCATTTCTTAATTTTTTTTAAAAATAATCTATTTATTCAATTTAAATACAAAAATAACATAGTTTTCAAGTTATTTACTAAAATAACATAATTTCAATGACACGTCTTTTGATTTAGAAAGTGTGTATATATTATGACTTATGCGCCATTTGATTTGAAACATGCATGTATAAATAGTCATTTGATTTGAAACATGCATGTATAAATAGTCAATGCGTTTTTTAAATGGCGCATGCTATATATATATATATATATATATATATATATATATATATATATATATATATATATATATATATATATATATATATATATATATATATGAAATGTAATTAAAAATAAGTAAAAATATAGGAAGAAATTAAAAAAATAGAAAACAAATAAAAATATTATTGGCTTGCCTGCGAGGTCTAACACGATTTTATTGAGGTGTTTGTGGTCTTTGCGTACTGGTCTGCACAAAAGGTATTTGGTGCGAGGGTCCCGACGTATTTGACATATTTTCAATTATTTGTCCCGAATAGCCCGGAGGTTACTACCAATGTACTGTCGTAATTTAGTTTTGTGCTCATATTTTCAAAGTTGGGTCGTAGTGGTTGGGTTAGGTGAGGACAATATGGTTGGCCGAATTGGTACACTGAATCATTTTGAAAACAATGCAATGACTTTTGTGGGGTAAGGAAGTTAAATATTGGTTGGGTGTTTTGGTGGTGGGATGTTTGTGTGTTCATTTGTGGAGGACTATGGTGGGTCGGGGTGGAGTTGAAAGAGTCATCGAAACTATAGACAAATATGGTGTCAATGTGTGGATGTTGGCAATAGGGGTCAAACTCTTGTTGTTGTGTTTGGGTGGATGACATTAATGAGTTGCGGGTTTGGATGTTTGATGGTTTGGTGTACATGGCATGTCAATAGTGTGAGGTGGGTAGTTGGGATTGGGTGGGTAAATATTGTTGGGTGTGGTGTGGGGTTGGTTGTTGGGCAGATATTTGTTGTTGAGTGTATGACGACGAAGCACGTTGGCGTGAATCTATCAAATATGTTGGCTCAGACACAAATTGTTGCGTTGTAACCGACCTAAACCAAATCATATCGTGATGACTTGGTCTAGGCCCTTCTACGACAGACTCATTTAAGATGTGATGACGTGGATTCTTCCAATATTGATACATATATTTAGCAAAGTCTCTCCAATCATCGAAGCATCTACTCTTAATTGAGGTCAGTCTCTCAAACACGTCAGATGGACTGAAATATCTTGTTACATGTCGAACTGTAGTTTCTACACCACTAGTTTTCCGGTGGTAGCAAAAGAGGACTATTTGACCTGCATATGAAGGGGAAATTGTCTGACATAATGAAATTATGTAAAGAAAGAAAAAAGGTTGCCCTAATAGCACGCATATTCGAACTAAGATGGATACGACAAACAAAATGGTGAGATTATGTAGTTCATGTCGTTAGCCCGGACACAATCATACAAAATGTCTCAATGTTTGACCAACCACAACATCATAATTTTAAATGTAACATTGTCTCTTTATATCAACAACAACTTTCATTTCATTAATATCATAACATTCAATAACAATAATTTAAAAACAACAATTAACAATAATCTAAACAGTTAAACAATAAAACAAACAAATACAACGACTAAACAACATAATTATGCAATTACAACCATCGGGACAATTTTCTGAGACCTATACATCAACATCTGAACATTTTGGTCGGTAGTAACATTCTTCTAAAAATGAACTTCTCCATTTTGGTTGAACGTGGTAACGAGCCTTTCAATTCTTCTGATCTTTTCACCCTCTGGAACGTTTCTATCTAACCATCGGTTCAGACTCCTGTTAAGATGTTCGAACGTCAGTGTATTCCAGAGGCGGATCTTCATTAGAGGTTTGACTGGTGAGAAAATTAAATCAACATTTCTCTTGTGGATGTATGGAACCTTACAAAGATACGAGGAAGAAAAATGGGAAGCCATTTTGAAAGAAAATGGAAGGAGCCTATTAGAAATGGAATGAGAAAAATGTGAGAAATGTAGAGAAGGTGGTGCAATATTTAAAGAGAAGTCACACTGTACTAACGCATACACAGATAGCCTAAACCCTAAAAAAATGAGAATGCGTCATTTTATATGACAGAGATACATGCACAAGCCATTTGAAATGATATATTTAAAAACACGCGCCATTTAATTTGTTGTATCATTTGCAAACTACCCTAAAACTATGTTATTTTAGTAAATAACTTAAAAACTATATTATTTCCATATTTAATTTAAATAAATAAGTTATTTTAAAAAAAATTACATTCTTTGCTATATATTTTAAAGTGAATTGTTCACTTTTTTTTTATTATTTAAAGTGATTTGTTCACTTTAATAGAATCAGATGCTAACCTTAAATATAAATAAATAAACAAAATAGCTGTAAAAGAACCAAAAGAAAACACGCATGTCATTATTGTAAGAGATAAAAATAAGGGTGTCTGCAGCGAAAACACCTTTGTACTGAAATATTCTCTAACAAAAATAATAATACAAACAAAAGTGCATAATCCTTCATAATTTAGCTTTTATATATATATATATATCCCGCGTTCTGACTCGTTGTTGTTGCTCAATGCTCATCGTTATTATCGATTAAAAGGACTCGTCATCTCAATTTTTAACCATGGCATTTTAATTTAACAATAATAAATAAATATTAGAAATTTAATTTCTTTAAAATTATCGCTCTGTAACGGTTGTTATTCTTGTTAAAAAAGATTATTAAAGAAAAGAGCAGGTATATATAAAATATAATAAAAAATAATAAAAAATTATGATGTGAGAAGAAATTTCTTTCTCTCTCATCCCACACACATCGCACAGCACAGGCCCAACTTCTCCGTTCCGTTGTGTTGTGTCGTGCTGTATTGTGCTGTGTCTTCTCTCTTCTTCTTCTTTCTCTCACTATCACGCTAACAACCCTTTTTTTTTCCTTCAATTCTGCATTTTCCATTCCTTTCTTCCCCAAATCAACAACACTAATGCTTCTTCATCATTATCCTCTCTCATCAACAACCTAGGGTTTCTCTCCGATTTTCGTTCTTTTCGCCGGAATTTTGGGGTTAAGCTCAATCTCCGGCTTCCATGGCTTCCAACTTGAAGATGTCCCCTAAGCTCGAACAGATCCACGGTGAAATTCGCGATATCTTCCGAGCCCTTGCGTATGCATCATCATTTTTCTTTTCTTTTTTTTTCATTATCTCGTATTTTATTTTCATCAATGCTTTTACGAAATTATTTAATTTAAAATTTAAACTTTTAGCTATTTTTGGGGTTTGATTAATAATGATCTTGTTAGTTCGCGAGGCTGTGATCATGTGATTTTTTTGACATTGGAGGATTATCCTATATAGTAGTTGTTGGTGAAATTAGGGTTACCGTGGTGGAATTGAATGAAACTTGGAGGATAGTTGTTCTTGTTCTTATTTCATGTTGTCTAGAGACAATCAAATTTCCAGATTCCAAGTGTGTGTAGCTCAGACCAACAGTTATTCATATTTGCATATACTTGAAAGATTAATGGCCAGCTTGGAGGAGTTTATGATTCCTTATTACAGGAGTTTCTTGATAAGCACAGAAGAAATTGGGGATGAAGAAGAAGAACCAAACCTCTTATATACTTCCCCTAGAATTCTATATTACCACTCTATGCCAGACTTAGGTGCTCGAATACCCAAGTCCGTATTATAGCAACTCCCCTGAGATCCCACATTCTTGATGACACGACTCCATGACTATTTACTCGTCAAAACTACGCTCAACTTTCTTGTGTGGTAAAACCCTCCGCGGCCTTCTGCGTGACGCTGACAACCAGCTCTGGTACCAATTTATAAGCATCCAAGTACTTGGGGAACCATCCCCTAAAACTATGATGTTAAGGATGACGAACCAAGCCCTTTATGTGTTTCACCAAGCATTCCATACTATTCAATGTGGGATGTATGCACCCCATAATACTCAACTTCTATAGCTTCTCAATTAGAAAAAGTTTCCTGTTGGAGTGTGGATAGTGTGCACTACAATTTTATAAACATATAAGTGCTATTGAACCTGATTGTTAAGCCTTTGTAGATGCATGTTTCTTGTTGGAGTGTGATGTGCACTACATTAATTTCATTATCATCTTTTTTTATATAAGTATATCAATGGTTATAAATCCCATTGTTTAAGCCTTTGTAGATACATTTTTCCTGTGAAGTATGGATAATGTGCACTTTATTAATTTTATTATCAACTATCATCTTTTTTTAATTTAATATAAGCACATTTTGCATACAGAAATGGCTTCCAGAAGCTGGATAAGATTAAAGATTCCAATAGACAAAGCAATCAACTGGAGGAACTCACTGGGAAGATGAGGGACTGCAAAAGGTAAGTTGTGCATTAATATGAATATAATTTTGATATCTCTACATGACAATTGAGGCTTTCTGAACGAAATCCAAACAAACAGCATTTAAAAAGAAATACATGTAGCTATTTAAAAATACTATAAACAAGACTTCTGTAATGGAATTGACATCTCATGCCAACCTCCTAGGATTTGATAAATAATAATGTGGTAAACATGGAACCCTGAATTATATTATGAAAATGAAATTTGATAGAAGTTTTTTGGTTTACATTGCTGGTTATATGTTTTGTAGACTACATATTTGACAGACAGTGTTGCATTTTTTTATACACCAATCCTGGAAGAAGTGATATTTTTTCTTCATTTGAATATGGATATATTTTATGATTTCTGTTTTGAATTTATTAATGGCACTCTTGGAATCTGAAGAATTATGTTGCTGATAATGGCTTTAGGTTGATAAAAGATTTTGATCGTGAAGTTAAAGATGAAGGGGCAGGAAATCCCGAAGAAGTGAATAAGCAACTCAATGACGAAAAGCAATCAATGGTCAATATCTAGAACCCTTCTATTTTTTTTGCTCCTGTTGGAAATATAGTATCTACCTTTTCTAAGTTTGAAATGGGTTCACGATCTTCCTTGTATTGTGAATTGACACTCAACTTATCCTTTTATTGAAGTGTAACAAGTTATAAAGAATTTGCATAATGTCAAGACATCAAATTAAGTGATCACCATATGGTCTGAAAAAAGTTTGAGAATCCGAGGATCGCCCATGCATGTTATATATTGCATGTGCTTGCACTTAAACAACAATCTCTTATGTTTATAACATTCATTTTTCTTGCAGATCAAGGAGCTAAACTCATACGTGGCACTGAGAAAAACGTAAGCTTATTTATGTAATTTTTATTTTCTAGTTTTAGCCTTTGGTTGGTTATTTGAAGTTTATGAAATAAATAAGATGAGTAATTCCAATTATCGTTGTAGGCAGGTTCAGCTTTCAGAAGCTTGAACTAATGATATATGTTTTCTATCGGTGTCTGTAGAACCAATAAAGCAAAATAAAGTTTCCTTATTATAGTTCTTTACTATGAAATAGAAATTTTATTCTTTTGGCTATTTGAAAGGAGGGTTGATACTCTAACTTGGATGATCAACAGGTACATGAATACCATTGGTAATAAAAAACTTGAACTTTTTGACATGGGAGCTGGTGCCAGTGAACCAGCTGAAGGAAATGTTCAACTCGCATCAGGTAACATGTTAGGTAGAATTTGTAGTCGAGCTTGAGACCAATGAGTTGGCACCAGCACTTGCATTGAAATTTATTTATTTACTGTATGCGTTTCTGTTGTAAACAGTCTCAATGTAGAATATGTACACTGCGTTTGAGTGCTAAGTTTTGCAATAGCATACTTTGGGTAGTTTTTGTCGTTGATCCTTCTTGGGGTTTGGGGCCGAGGCAGTTTCTGTATGTTTAACGTGTAGTGAACAACATGCTTATCTTAGCAATAATGATACTCATCTGGCTTATTCTACAGAAATGTCAAATCAAGAACTTGTCAATGCTGGGATGAAGACAATGGATGAGACTGATCAGGCTATTGAGAGGTCTAAGCAGGTTGTACATCAAACAATTGAAGTTGGCACCCAAACTGCTTCTACCTTGAAGGGCCAAGTAAGTTTGATATTGAATTGAGTATGCTGTATGAAGAGAAGAGCTTAGGGGATAACTAATTTGACATCTAATTCCCGTTTCAAATTATGCAGACCGATCAAATGGGTCGTATTGTTAATGAGCTGGATTCAATTCAATTTTCAATTAAGAAAGCCTCCCAACTTGTTAAAGAGATCGGTAGACAGGTTGCTTCAATTTCCTTTTTAATATGCACTATTTTAATTCCTCTAAACTCGGGACTAAATTGCCCTTACCCCTGTTATCAGGTAGCTACAGACAAATGCATCATGCTGTTTCTGTTTCTTATCGTCTGTGGTGTAATAGCCATTATTGTCGTGAAGGTATTGTGTTCATTTCATCTATGAATTCAACTAATTTGTTGTGGATATTCTCTCTCAAAAATTAAACCAGTATACCCCAACAATTTTATTTGAATGAAGCCTTTTTACATGAACTATTTTAATTAACTTTGGTAACACAATATGAAAAGAAGTGATGAGAACTTGGTTTGTATGGTAATCACTGCTTCTAGAATGTTTATGGGCACTATGGAGGTTCTAAGATGCACTTCTAACTATTTCATATCTGTGTACAATGCTTAAGATATACTCCCTTTTTCTTATCTGTAATATTTTTCCGCAGATTGTGAATCCCAACAATAAAGATATTAGGGATATCCCAGGATTGGCACCTCCAGTTCCCTCAAGGAGACTTTTGTATGTTCGAACAGGAGAACTTTATGATTAATTCTTACATTTGAACCAGAGTTTTCTCCATCCTAGTCCTACCAACTTGGTTCTTGTTCTTATCGGTGGAAATATTAGAGGATCTCTTTCCGGAGGCATTGGTTTGATTTTTCTGGTTATTCTTTCTTTTTAAGGATTCCTGCATATACTGTTTGTGATTCTATGTAAATCAGACGAGAATCTTATGCTTTTCCTTGAGTGCCACGTCTACGTTTTTTTTCTTGTAACATTCCAAAATTTAGGGCTAGAAAGAAAGTAATACTCTACTGTGAAATTCATGGTGTATATGTATCTTATTTGAAGGAGGTTCCTCCCCCATTTTTTGGTGTAATATATGCTTGCGTTTTCAAACTTTCTGCTGGATCAGCCTTGTAAATCACATTTATTAAAAGTTATGTTTGCAGCTGTTTATTCACAAAAAAAAATGATCCTATTACCATCAAGCCTTTTACAGGGATGGGTTGTTTGCTGCTAGTCCTGTAACCTGTTCACATTAGCTTGTATTATATGCTACTCTTAGAACTTTTTGACTGAAAAAGTGCTAAACTAATCAGTCCACTCTCCAAATTCAATTAAAATATAATGGTAACAAGTATTTGTTTTGCTTGCGACATACTGTGTTTAGTTGTGTTTAATTTCTTAAAATTATTTTAGATTACCACAAAAAAGAAATAGTTTTGAAGATTCTCAGCACAAAGTTGAACATAGGGAAATATTCTTGTATATTGGGTATAATACCATAAAGTTAAACATGCAGAATATTTTGATCCCATTTGTGAAAGGATTTAAAATCTTTACGCGGGACTAGTCATAAATAATTCTAAGATCACTATTAAATGATTTACCTAGAGAATTTGCTCTTAAAACCCATGAATGTAATTACAAAGTGCAAGCAAGTGGTTTCATTATAAAGCATAGCATACATATCATCTAAAACGAATGAAAGGAATATGGTGCATTTTGACTCAGTTTCCTATTTCTTGTTCTCTTTCAAAAAGGGGAAGAGATAAAATGAACCCTGAATTTGAATTATCATTTCCCTGTCGCATGGCTGGTTAGCTGTGTACGGCCAATATGAGACAACCTTGATGAAGAAATTAGTGGTGTTTCTACATTAATATTCGTATCAGAGGCAGAACCATTGCCACCGCTGCCTCCTTCATTGTTGCCACCATTATCTGGCACATAAATATCAGATGACTTCTTCTCAAGTTTCCAGTCCTGCATGTCAGACGATAAACATGCTTCATTCAGCTTATCTATTCTATCACTTCATTTCTTACTCTTGTTACCGTGTATAACAAGTTTGCATTGATCCAAAAGAATTGCATAGATATACTACTAGTAAACATGTCATGAGGATACCTTAGTGATTCGATCGGGAATACTTTCAGCAGTTAATTGAGAGGCTCGAACATCCCTGACCTTTATGTAATTGTACATCACAACTCCGCATAATGCTGCAAGTTAAACACGTAAGCCACCGGGGAGAGTGGGAGATAAAAAACATTACATTAGTCATTACAAATAAAACTTACCGATACCATAGCCAATTATATTCAGTCCAGTTATTGTAGACTCTGGAAATATAACTGTTGAAAGGGCTATTAATATCCAGTCTTTAAGCACACCGGCAACCCGGATGGTTACAGCACCGGTTCTACCAATCACTAAGAAGATGGAAAAGTTCAAGGCTAGAGCACAAAGAGCATTTGAAAAGAAGATCCAAAAATTGAACTGAATCTGTGAAACTTCAATCATTGGCTTTTCCAAAAGGTACCAAGGCACAAAGAGAAACACAAAACTGCATATAACAAAGTACCGAAAAGTTAGCAGATCACATGGTATGTTGGATTTGCAGATAAGCAAGCATTTATACAAAGATGAAAGATAAAGCTTTGGTGAAGCATCCTCGTATTACCTGCATGGAGCTATGTAATATAAGCTTGTAATGGGATTTAAACTCAAGCCCTTCTTTTGTAAAAGGACTTGTGTTAAAACGAGACGAAAAGCTTCTGCAAAGATGCCTGTGACCTGGTAAAGTGTACCAACTATATTAAAATGAATTTCCCCGTAGGAGGAAATGACAACTCCAACACTAACTAGCAGCATGTTGAAGAACACGTCACACCTTGCTTTGTCAATGCCACATAAAACAGCCACAAGGAAAGTTGCAACAGGCACTGAAACAACAACACATGTATTTAAATTAAGGAATTGTCATTGAAAGTAAGAGAAACATGTGAAGTTAGTTAAAAACATACTCAGAGCTTTAAGCATCTGGATGAAAGCCACAGAAATATGCAAATATGCCGTGTTACCAAACCTGTAGCAAAAAAAAAAAAACATATCACCCTGTATAAATATGGTTGTACCTTCAAAGGTACTGATATACTAAATGAGGCATAAGCATGTGAATAGAGCATGTATAGAAAACAGAAACCATAGTGTTAACAACCAGGTTAATCTACAGCATGAACACTAGTTCAAGTTTAGTAATCAATGAAGGTGCAACAGATCCAGCCTAATGAGCAACGAGTAAACTTGATACCAAACTCAAAGTATCGGATTTATTCTTCTATGGAACTACATAAAAAACTTCCACAACCAAACTAAAGCTATCTCATATTTCATACAAGTTCAACCTATCACAAACAGATTGAATGAACCACACTTGACTGAGCCAATTTTTGGTAGTTTTGAGCCTTCACGTGATTAAATCGCACGTGCAGTCATCGGTATCAAACAAGATAAAGTATGAAATCAGAAAACTCAATTTTTCCTTGGTGTAATGCTTACCAGAGACTTGATGCAAAGAATGCACTTATTGGTATCACACAAGTTGCATATCTGTGACAGAAAGAACATGTTTATAAATCAGGTAATCAAAGTAGCACAAGGCATAAGAAGGTTTTAAATCAATGGCACATACACTCACATTTCAAATGACATTTTAACCGGCGATACAACCTGCAAATCAGATCATGAAAACTGATCAAGAAAGATCAAAGACTACATCAACTACACAAACTTATCATACAATCAACATCAAGAAACTATGTTATTGCTATAAAAAACAAACACTTTACCATATACCAACATTGAATAAAATTGACCAAAACCCCCCAAGAAGAACATTCCCAAATCAGGACAGAATGACATACCTTAAAAACCCTAACAAGTAAAAACGCAACAGCTCCAGAAAAACCCATATGAATCATAGTAAGTGTGATGGGAAGTGGAAAGTTAAAGTACTTTGGAGATAAAACCCACTGCAAAAACAACAAAAAACACAAAATTTAACAAAACCAACATCACTTAAAGAGTTAATCAACACAATGAACATGGTTTAGGGTAAAATCAGAAGCAAAAAAACAAAAAAAAACAATACCTTGTTGTACAAAATGACACCAGAAGAAAGCAAGATGTAGATAAACAAGTAGAAATAAGTCAAAAAAAGCGTTTTGCTGATCATTTTGCCTTGGTTTCAAGAACAACAAAAAAATCTGATTTTGACCAGCAGAGTAAACTTCTAACACAGACCCATTAACTCAAGTTGAATAAAGATGAAATCTTTGCAATTGCAGCATGAAAAAGAAGAGAAATTGTACGGATCTGTGCGTGGAGTAATGTGTATTGTGTTGTGTTAAGTCAAGATCGAATCCAAGAAAAAGCGCGTGAAGAGGGAAGAACAGAGAGATCAGAGATTCAGAAGAAAAGAGAAGGATTAATAAATGAGGGGTTTATTGAATTAATATCTTGGGGTTGTAGGAGTACTAGTTGGGTGTGTGTTTGTGAAGCATGTGCATCAGCAGAGGATGATAATGCTAAATAGTAGCAATACTATGTTGGTAGTAATATACTAGTGGTATACACAAAAGTACACAAGCTACTGACTAAGATCTTGTCTATCTATAATATCTCTTGTGATTGTAACACATTCTAAAAGAAGATGATACCTTTAATCAAATCCTACTAGTAGTAATTTGGAAAAATTTTCAACCTATTGATTTACAATCCATTTCTCATTAGTTATAAATTTTTCTACAATACTAGAAATATTCTTTCTAATATGAAATGACCACATTAAACAGATTTATTCAAATGATATAGTTGTTAACAAAAGAGACATGATAGTAGAGTTCCTATATTGAGGGTAAAAATTACAATGGAGTATAAATATTATACATAAAAAAACATATATATCTATAACAAAAATATATAACAATATTTTCTAACATCTCCCTTTGCAAGGACGAGAAGATAAATGAGAGAGTAATTCTTGTATATTTGAGGTGAAGATGAGTGAAGTGACAAACAATCTTAATATATTTGGTGTATTATAAAATATCGAGTTGTGAGAAATTAGAATAACATTTTTGTTATCACAATAGAGTATACAAGAATTGTTCAAAAAAAGATAGATCGTATAAAAAAGTAACCAATGCAATCAAACTATTTCACTAGTGATGAATGTCATAACACAGTACTCAACTTTTGTAGAAGAGTGATATACAATATCTTGTTTCTTTTTTAAAGAAATAACAGAGTATTCAAGAAAAAAATACAAAATCTTGTGGCAGACTTACAATTTGTAAAGTCATCTGCCCAATCAACGTTAGAATAAATATGTAATTCTAACGAGGACGGTGAGGAAAATAAAAGGATTTAAAATTGGGTTCTTAGAAGATAACGAAGGATAAAAGAACAACTTGTTAATGCATTGTAGTGAAGAAGACAACAAGTTGATTGACAACATGAACAACATAAACAATATCAGGTATGATCATCGTAAGGTACACATGGTTTCCCCCTAAACACTATGCCAAAACAGACCTTTAGCAGCGCTTTTTTTGACCTTTAGCAGCGCTTTAAAGCGCTGCCTAAAGTGGCGCTGCTAAAAGTAAAGGCAGCGCTTTTTTTGTGGAAAAAGCGCTGCTAAAGACATCACCTTTAGCATCGCTTTTTTACCCCTTTAGCAGCGCTTTTTAAAGCGCTGCCTAATCTCCCCCCTCCCCCCCTTTAGCAGCGCTTTATTAAAGCGTTGTCTTAGACCCCCCCTATAGCAGCGCTTTATGAAAGCGCTGTCTTAGACCCCTCTTTCCCCACCTATAGCAGCGCTTTTTTAGCAGTTTCTCTGTCCCCTTTAGCAGCGCTTATACATAAAAGCGCTGTCTAATGTGCACGTTTTGAAGAAAAAAATTTTCTGATTAATGGCATTTTTTATATATTTTTCAATAAACCTGCTTATATTACAATACCTGCTTATATAATTTAGCCCTTTATTTCAGCACTTTGGCTTTATATACACAATTCAACACTTTGGCATTATGTGCACAATTCAACACTTTGGCATTATATGCACAATTCAACATCACAAATTATATACAATTCCACTTTAATATATATAATTCAAAAGCTTCACAATTCAACATCACAAATTATATACAATTCTCAACTCGAAATTCAACATCACAAATTATACAATTCTACTTTAATTTCTTCCAATCTTTATTGCTGGCCATAATATACCTGTAATTCAGGAAAACTAAAGTATCAAATGAATGACATTCAAATATGTAAATAAGAAATATATATATATATATATATATATATATATATATATATATATATATATATATATATATATATATATATATACACACACACATAAGAAACGTATAAATAAGAAATAATATGTTATTTTATTGAATGAGACAATATGTAATTTTACAAGTACCTTTAACATCTTTTTCTTTTTTTAGTTCGAAGGTGCTTTACTTGTCTCTTAACAACACGGACGGATGGATTGATCCAAATTCCCTCGCTATGATCATTTCTAATATATGATTCGTCTGCTATAATATTCTCATCTGGATCATCCCTAACATAAGATTCATTCTCAACATCAACCTCCCCCTTTTCTCCAATGTTATTGTTGATTACTTTGTTGGAAAAAAGAACTATAAACCATTTCGTACTTTTCGGATCAGTGACATAGAACACTTGTTTAGCTTGTGTGGCTAGAATAAAAGGCTCATCTTTGTACCCCACCTTATTAAGATCCACTTGCAAAAAACCTGACTTATCCATACGTATGCCACTATTACTTTCAACCCACTTGCATCCAAAGATAGGAATCTAAAACTTCTCATAATCAAACACCCAAATGCGCTCGATTACCCCAAAATACGAGGAAATGTGCATTGATTCGGCAAGCACAGTGACACCACTATTTTGCATTGTACTTTTATCATCTTGCTCCTTGGTATAAAATGTGTATCCATTAATTGCGTATGCGCTATAAGAAAACACATGCAAAGTTGGACCATATGCTAAACATCTCAACCTTTCTGTTATTGAAGCGGGATCAGAATAAAACTTTGAATAAATATTCTCTTTGAACCATGTTATAAAACTTCGATTGTGCTCACGTACTATCCAATTTTCATTTCTATTCAGATTTAAACCTCGGAGAACGTCCTTGTGCAATTTAACGTACTGCTCAACCTCAATGTCATTGTGCAGAACATATAAATGCACTTGCTCCCGTTCATCCCTTGAAACTGTCACAACTTTATTTCCACTTAACTGTTTACCTACTACTTTTTCAACAACATCAGATTTTGGGAGGCCAATGGATTGAACGTTGGACAAATATTCAGTACAAAACTCAATAGCTTCTTCAACAATGTATCGTTCAACAATACATCCCTCTGGTCGACTTCGGTTTTTCACATACCCTTTCAATATTTTCATATAACGTTCAACTGGATACATCCATCTCATATATGCAGGTCCACACAGTTGTGTCTCTTTCACGAGATGCACAACTAGATGTACCATTATGTCAAAGAATGACGGAGGAAAATACATTTCAAGCTCACACAAAGTAATAATTATATCTTTTTGCAATGTTGGTAAGATCGCAGGATCGATCACCTTACTACAAATAGATCTGAAAAAGAAACACAATTTTGTTATTGCGCCTCTCACTTTTTCTGGCAAAATAGAACGTATACCTATTGGTAGAAAGTGTTCCATAAGAACATGGCAATCATGTGTCTTTAAACTCTTTAACTTTAGGTCTTTCACAAAAACAAGTCTTCTAATATCTGAAGAGTATCCTTCTGGAACTTTAACTTCACTCAGAAACTTACACATTATCTTTTTCTCCTTTCTAGACAAAGTATATGCAGCAGGTGGTAGATAAGTGCGATTTCCTTTCTTCTGGGGTCCTAATTCATTTCTTATTCCCATTGCTACCAAGTCTTTTCTTGCTTTAAGGCCATCCTTAGACTTTCCTTGTATATTGAGTAACGTACCAATAACACTTCCAAATACATTTTTTTCAATATGCATAACATCAAGAAAATATCGTACATACAACGACTTCCAATACGACAACTCAAACAAAATTGACCTCTTCTTCCACCCACGCGTGGTAAGCGTATGAGCAAAAGGCTTGCCAAACTGAGTACTCACATCTTTCACCTTTGCAAAAATTTGATCGCCGGTCAATGTAGGTGGTGCTCTACGTTGTTCTGAATTTCCATTGAATTCTTGTCTCCATCCACGGTACTGATGATTAGAACTTAAGAATCTACGATGACCAAGAAAGACATTCTTCTGACCAAATTCCAACCGCGTCCAATCTGTGTTTTCTTCACAGATAGGACACGCACATTGACCTTTAATGCTATACCCCGATAGATTTTCGTATGCTGGGAAATCATTAATTGTGCCAAACAACATGGCCCTCAAATTAAAACTTTCTTTCCTATATCCATCATAAACCTCCACACCGTTCTCCCACAAACTTTTTAAGTCTTCGATTAAAGGTGTCAGGTATACGTCTATGTCGTTTCCTGGTTGTTTAGGGCCAGAAATTAACATAGATAACATCATGTACTTACGCTTCATACATAGCCATGGAGGTAGGTTATAAATCATAAGAATTACAGGCCAGGTGGAATGGGAGATACTTTGCAGACCGTGCGGATTCATTCCATCAGTCGATAATGCCAAGCGAAGGTTTCTAGCTTCTTCTCCAAAATCAGGATAATCATTATCAATTTTCATCCACTGTGGTGAATCTGCCGGATGTCGATACTTCCCATCTATAATTCTATCATCTGCATGCCAAGTAAGGTGTTTCGCATTTGTTTCACTACGAAACATGCGTCTGAATCTCGGAATTATAGGAAAATACCATAAGACTTTTGCTGGTGACAACTTTTTCTTATACCGAGATACACCGCATTTAGGACACTCGTTTAATGATGCATACTCATTTCGAAACAAAATGCAATCATTTGGACAAGCATGTATCTTATCATAGCTCATACCAATAGAGCATAACATTTTTTTAGTTTCATAGGTTCGATTGGGAAGAACATTATCCTCCGGAAGCATCTCTTGAAGTAGGGCTAACAACTCTGTGAAACTTTTATCCGACCATCCATTACCCGCCTT